AGATAGTGGCAAACATTAATCCGAATGTTACTACATTCAGGTTTGTCTTAAAGTCTTCTATTGAAGCATAGGCTGGTAAGTGTTAGACCTGAAAAGAGGAAAGGATGTGATACTTAGCAGTGCAGCAGCAAAGTTAAGCATTAAGCCAAGACTGGGAAGCAATATTTTTAATATTGGGATGGTCAGTTACCACTTTCATAGAGTCATAGAGTTTTACAACACAAAAAGAGACCTTTCGGCCCATTGTGTCCACACTGGTTATCAAGCACTTATTTACTATAGTCCCATTTACCAGTACTTGGTCCAGAGCCTTGTGCGCTATGGTGCTTCAAGTAATTGTCTAAATACATTTCACATGTTTCCTTAACAACCTTATCTACCTGTTCTGTTGTATCCAAGGTTTTGTGGACATGCTTTTAACTGCTAATCTATTATTGCCTAGGTATCCAGCATCCTTCATTTGGGAGGAGCATTGTAGTGAATAAAATGCGGTCAGCCATGGGGACCTCATAGAATATGAGTTTCCTGATTGGGGCTGTTAACCTGGTCCACTCAGGGAGCCCTGGCTGACATAAGAACAGGAGTGTCAAAGGTTCTGTTCACTCTGACAGCTGACTGAGGAAGCCGGACCAGCGTCAAGTACTGTGCATATGTAAATTAAGGGTGACATTGTGACGGGATACCTGCCTCTCTGGAGTTATTTCAGTGGCGATGAGAGCAGAGCATACTCCTGAAGAAATTCGCTCGCAATAGTTTTTGAGTTGGGGTAAGCATTTCTGGCATCATGCCATTATTTGGGAAGCTTGACTCATTCAATCCTGCCATCGAAGACTGGGCCCAGTATGTGGAAAGAATGTGTTACTTTTCCTGGGCAAATGACGTTGGGCAGATGAAAAGCAACAATTAATTCTCCTAGAGATAGCAAGAACTGCAGATGCTGGAGTCAGAGACAATACAGTGTGGAGCTGGAGAGACACAGCAGGCCAGGCAGCATCAGAGGAGCAGGAAAGTTGATGTTTCGGGTCTCCTGACTGCTTGTGGACCTGCAACTTTTTCGGTTATTAGAGCCCAACTTTCTGTGAGGTACCAGATACTAAAACCTTAAAACAAGAAGTTACGTAACAATATTGCGACCCCAAGCCTCTTCTAATTCTGAGACACTATTAGTTTTACTCAGCAATTCGTGAACCATGGGAATCCATATCTGGATTTTTGAAGAGTTCAAGATGTCTGGCAGATGCATGTGACTTTGGTTTAACCCTTAATGAGATGCTGAGAAACCGTTTGGTATGTGGGATTAATGATGTAACCATGCAAAAGCATCTACTAGCTGAAGCCCAATTGGACTCCAACAGGCACTACAACTGGCTTTCTCATTCAAAAATGCAGCAAGTGGAACATATGAGTTGCAGGGTATTCTGATGGAAGTTGACACGCTCACCAGTCTGCCTCAGCTTGGGGAACACCACTTGAGTGAAGGCAATTGCATAGCCTCACTCAGGACATATCCTGAACGGAGGGACTCGAGGTCAGCTCACAACAAAACCCTAAAACAAAGCCAAGCCTCAGCCAAATGGTTAAAATTTTCTTCAGTATCCAGGCTGGCAGGCCATTGTGGCTGCTGCCAGTATGCGGATTCAAGACTGCATAACACTCCTACTAGACTGAAATTGAGTAAGGGAACTAATAGGCCAGTATCCAGGAGAGTGCACACCCTGGCAAGGCCACCTACATCTGGTTTGGAACAGTTAAATTGCTTATCAATGTCCAAATCAGAACCAATCAAAATAAACATCTGGTTAAATGGTCACCGGTTCTAATGGAGATTGATAGAGATGCGGCTGTTTCAGAGATCGCAGAACCAGTCTTTAACAAAATTCGCTCTGGACTCCAACCCTTAAGTTTGTGGAAGACCTCAGCTAGCCTGACAACTTATACTGGTGAATCTTTACAGATTAAGGGTACTACTTCAGTTCCAGTCTTTTTATGAGAAGCAACTGGTTCAGTTACCACTGATTGCTGTAAAAGGCTTAGGCCCAAGCTTGATGGGTTGAAATTGGTTGAGAAAGATTCACCTAGGTTGGCTTAACATTTTTCTATTCGAAGTGTCTGAGTGAAGTTCCTAATTAAATACCGGGAAGATTTTCAGGAAGATCTAGGGACAATCAAAGGAGCCAACGCCACCTTGCATGTTGACCAGGAAGCAATTCCACAATTCTGCAAGGCCTGCCCAGTACCATTTGCCTTACATACAAAAGTAGAGGCAGAAATCAGAAGGCTGGAAAGCGAAAGAATCATCAAACCAGTTCAGTTTGCATAATGGACAGCATTGGTTGCACTGATTGAGAAGCCCAATGGGTTAGTTCGCCTTTGTGGAGATTCTAAGCAAATGATAAACAACTTTAAACAAATGATAAATACCCAATCCCTCGCATAGAGGATCTATACACAAAACTGGAGGGGGACTGTCCTTCACAAAGCTGGATATGAGCTATGGGTACTTGCAATCCTGGGGTTAGATGAGGATTCCCAGAAGTATGCCACAATTAATACCCATAAGAGTTCCTACCAATATATGAGACTGCTATTTGGGCTTTCATCAGCCTGTGCAATTTTTCAGATGGAGAACGCTTTACAAGGTCTACCCCAGGTCACCGTTTATCTAGATGACATGCTAATAACAGGGAAGACCAAATTGGAGCACTTAGAGAACTTGGACATAATCCTTAGACATTTCTCCCAGGTGCATATGCCTTAGAAAGGAAAAATGTATTTCCAGGCACCCCAAGTGACCTACTTAGGCTACAGAGTTGACAAGACCGGGTTACGCCTTTTTGAAGATGAAATGAGGGTGATCAAAGATGCCCCAGCTCCCACATCCATACTGGAGCTTACGTCTTTCCTCGAGCTGGTAAATTATAATGGAAAGCTCACATATAACCTGGTCTCCATCCTGCACCTTTGCATCAACTCTTAAAAAAGGGTCACCCTTTGAATGGTCACATAGCCAAGCCATAGCTTTCAGGGAAGTGAAGAAACAGCTATTATTCTCTAACGTGTTTGAACACTGTGATCCCAGGTGAGATCTGGTATTGACATGCGGTGCCTCCCCATACGGCATTGAGGTAGTATTAGCTCATAGCCTAGTGGAGAGGAGCGCCCAATAGCGTATGCATTCAGGACTTTGCCTAATACAGAGTGTAAATAAGTCCAGATAGAGAAGTTTGGCGGTCATATTTGGAGTCAGGAAGTTCCACTAGTACCATTATGTTATCATTTGTTATAATAATGGACCACAAATCCCTACTAGGTTCCTATTTGATTATAGGACCACCCCTCCTGCAACTACAGTGACAGCTCCAGCAGAGTTGCTAATAGGCAGAGGACTCCGCTCCAGGTTCAGTCTGATCTCCCCGGACCTGGGGTGGGAGGAAAGGGTGAAATGGCATCAGGAGTGCCGATGCCGGATACAAGATTCCGGTAATAGAGAGACAGTTTATGTCAGGGGATGAAGTTTAATGTAGGAATCACTGGAATGGCCCTGTGTGGGTAAGAGGCATGGTTGATGCAAGGTTAAGTCCAGCGATGGTCCTGAACAAGCACGTGGACCATATGAAAGCTGCAAATTCGCAAATAGAGCAGGAGCAAAACGTGCCTGGCTCCTTGGAACAGTCAGAAAGGCTGGTGAAACCCATGGATTCTTCCTCTTTGCCAAATGTTGAAGAGACCTTGGAGGGACATGGCAGGTGTCGCTGCCTCGATGCCTTTTCTGCCTGAAGAAGAGAATGAATTTCTTCCAAGATGCTGCAAGCGCAAGAGGCAAGCTGCTGTACGTTACTCGCTGCCTGTATCCGCAGCAGAGTCAGAGGGACCTGACCTCGTGCTAAAACGCCCAGGAGGAGCTACAAGGAAAAGAACCAGCCTATGTCCTCAAACTCAGACGAGGAGGGATGTACTGATTTTAAGAGGTCAGCCCATTGGACCTCATTGAATACAAGTTCCCTGATTGGAGCTGGTAATCTGGTCCAATCAGGGAACCCTGGCTGACAGATAAAAATAGGAGTGTCAGAGTTCCTGTCACTCAGAGCTGATTCTGAGGGGGCTGGATCAGTGTCAAGGACTTTATGTTTGCAAATAAAGGGTGACTTGATGACGGGATATCGAGTTCTCTGGAGTTATTTCAAGGACCTCCTTGCACTGTCCACAAATTTGGTGGCCCTAGCTGCAGTCGTCTTAAATAATGACTCCAGTTTTTATGGTATAAATATTCACCATGCCAAGAGGTGTAAGTTGTTTTGAAATACCACTAGTATAGGTGGATTTTCTGTCCTCCCTATAGGAAAATGAATGGTTTCAAGCAGGAATAATGCTAACAGATCACTCTGAATAATAAAAAATACTAGCACACCCATTTGTAAAATCATGCATTATATTTGCAAATAAGTAGTATTGAACTATTTTGTGCAGGTGAAGTGAAAATTCTTCAATTTATGCACTTCTTAAGTTCAACGTTTGCTGCTATTGACATGATGATGCCCTTTTTAATTAAACAAGAAATTGATACGTAATTGTAAATAAATAATTTCAGAATTTGTCTTTTCAAAACGAAGATTAGAGGAAAATGACTTATTGCATTATTCACAAAATTCATGGTTCATGTGCAAATTGTAGACTAATGCTATTCGTCTTATCTATCCCTGAATAAACATTTGTCAATAATGGATGGTACCTTGCCATATTGTCTTCTAATGTGGAAATCAATATATGAAATTCATGCAGTCCACAGCTTTTATTACTTTCATGAAATAGGTCTTTTATAATGACATTTCATCCTTGTATTTGGCCTCACTCCATTCTGAAGAGACTTTAGATACCATTTAATTTTGTAACTCTGATTATTTTGCCATTTTCTAATCTTACAAATATAATAGGTTCTATGTTCACCAAAGAAGTTACTCACATTCAAAAAAACATTCTTTAAAATATTATTTCTATTCCAGCTACCGGCCTGCCCCTTTCTTTGTGTTGGATGAAGTCGATGCTGCTTTGGATAACACAAATATTGGAAAAGTAAGTATTGTTAGGGTGCATGCTCCATCAATTACTCCTATCAATTTACCAAAGAATCCCTAGGTTTCCAGTTAAACAGAATTTTATTTGAGTGATAGAATTGATAAGTTGCATTTGCATTAAACTTTGGTGCAATGGAGGATGCAAAAATGATTTACAAGAATGATACTGGAAATGTGAAGTTACTAAAAAATGAAGATACTGAAGTTCTGAGAAAAGAAAGCTTAGTGTGTCATATTAAAGGTATTTAAACTTAAAAGGTTTTTATAGAGTATGCATAATGTGTGTTTATGTGCTTGCCAAGAGGAGCAAAGCTAGAGGGTATTAATGTAAAATAGTTAGCAAGAAATCAAACAGCAGATTTAGGAAAAAGCTCTTTGCCCAGAGTGATGAGAATATGAAACTCGAGACCAGGAAGAGTGGTTGAGAAGAGTTGGATAAATTTATTTAGATGGAGACTCAATAAGTAAGACAGATAAGAAAATAAGAGGATTTCATGAGGAAAGATGGGAGAGGGCTCAAGTGGGGCATAAGTAGACCGTTAAAGTTGAATGGGCCATTACAGTTGTTTACACTTTCCGGGACCCTGAACAACATTGGCAGTGGCAAGTACATTGGGAAAATGTGGGAAGCTCAGAAAACGAGATCCTCGAAGTCAAGGAAAAATGAAGTCCAATTTTCTCCCATGGTTTTAACAGCAAGATGAGAATCTAACTGATGAGCAGAGGCCTATTTGCATGCATTAACATCGTGCTGTTATCTACTGTCATATGATTTTATCTGCAAGTACCTATCTTCCCAGGCAATGGAGTAAAACTAGACAGGACATGAAAGTCTTAGTAGGTATCTCGTGGCTCTAGCTCACCACTTGCTCCTCTAGGCTTCCATTGGCCAGCATTCCCCATAATCTCAGGGCATGCACCATGGCAGCGAGTGCCATACCCCCATCCACAGAGAATGATATCGGATTCCCACTATCATGGCACTTCTCAACTCACTGTACTACGTTTCACCATTTCAGTACTGTACTTTGGAGCTCACCTACCCCTTTCATCGCAATGTTGTCAGTCCAGTTTATGCTCAGGGACAAGCACCCATTTCATGCATCGGAGCAAGATGAGTCTCTGGGCTATTAGTTTGTTTTCTCAGCACTTCATAATGGGTTGGATGTCCACAGTATCTCTGCTTTGCCTTGTCTTTTTGCTGTTGCATAGATCAGAATTTACAGGCTCACAGTACTTCCATCTTGACTGGCCTTTCAGTGCAAACACAAAGGCAGATGGTCATAATTGCTAGCAGTGATCAGTCAAGCAGGTGGATATTATACTGTGTTACACTGTGCTACATCAATATCACATTTCAAGGCATGCAGCAGCTCATGCAGCAAACCACAATATGTTCCAAAAAAATGCCCATGTCTCAAAGATTAAGTCCTTAGTCAAGGGTGTCTGTCATCAGTCAGGGTGTGTTGGAACAGTCAGTGGCATTATTTGATCTCAGTCCAGGATACAGTCAGCCAGCTGCTTGAGATGTTGAGGGTCAGACGTTCTGGATCATTATATTATCAGGAAAGACCAAGGACAGAAGCTCTGTAAAGAGCAGTCCTTAGATTAATTACATTAAATTTTGTCCATGGTCAGGGACAGGAGGATGTGACTGTGAGTGGAACAGGAATGAGTGTCTAGAATTTAGTTTTAGAGGAGCCTCAGCCACTGCCCTTATCCAATAGGTATGAGGTTCTTGCTCCCAGTGTGGACTACAGCATCATGGTACAGAGTTCCATTCAAATGGAGGGAGAAAGGAGAAATATAGCAGTAATAAGGTATAGCATTATTAGGGGAACGTAGAGTCAGAGCACGGAAATAGACCCTTTGGTCCAACACATCCATGCTGACCAACTTCCCAAAATAAACTAGTTCCAATTGCCAGCGTTTGACCCATATCCCTCCAAATCTTTCCTATTCCTGTACTGATCCAGATGTCTTTTAAATGTTGTAACTGTACCAGCATTTACCATTTCCTCTGGCAGTTCATTCCACATTAAAACCACCTTCTGTGTGAAAATGTTGCCCTTCAGGTCCCTTTTAAATCTTTCTCCTCTTACCTTAGAAATATGCCTCCTAGCTTTGAGCTCCCCCATCCTAGAGAAGATACCTTTGCTCATCACTTTATACCCCTCATGATTTTATAAACCTCTATAAGGTCACCTCTCAACCTCCTATGCTCCAGTGAAAAGAAAGTCCCAGCCTATCCAACCTCTCCTTATAACTCAAACCCTCCAGTCCCAGTAACATCCTGGTAAATCTTTTCTGAACCCTCTCTGATTTAATAATATCCTTTCTATAGTAGGGTGTCCAGAATACTGTACAGTACTCCAAAAGTGGCCTCACAAATGTCCTGTATGACTTCAGTGTGACATCCCAACTCCTATACTTTATGTTCTGAGCAATAAAGGCAAGCATGCTAAGTGCCTTCTTAATCACCCTGTCTACCTGTAGTACAACTTTTGAAGAACTATGTGCCTGAACCCCCAGGTCTCTGTTCGACAACACTGGGTCGTATTAGCTACTGTTCTTTGCAACAAAGACTGAAACCTTGAAGGCTATGTTGCCTACCTGGTACTAATGTTCAAGACATCGCTTCTGGGCTAAAGAGTGGGAGGGGAAGGATCCAATTGTTAAACTTCAGTGACATAGTTAGGACTAGGAAAGGGGTTCTTTGAGGTATTATGAGCAGCTCGGGGCTAAGTTAGAAAGCAGAACAACAAGGGTAATCGTCTCTGGATTACTATCTGAGCCACATGCGAATTGTGGAGGTGCTGGTGTTGGACTGGGGTAAACAAGGTCAGAAGTCATACAACACCAGGTTATAGTCCAACAGGTTTATTTGAAATCACAAGCTTTTGGAGCGCTGCCTCTTCATCAGATGAAGTCACTTCACCTGACAAAGGGGCAGTGTTCCGAAAGCTTGTGATTTCAAATAAACCTATTGGACTATAAACTGGTGTCGCGTGACTTCTGATCTCGACACGTAAATTGGTGGCGGGTAAATAAGATTAGACAGGTAAATGCATAGCTTAAAGGTTAGTTTTGGAGAAATGGTTCCAATTCATGGTACTGGCACCAGTACTAGGGAAAGGGAGATAGCAAGAACTGCAGATGCTGGAGTCAGAGACAACACAGTGTGAAGCTGAAGGAACACAGAAGGCTAGGCAGCGTTAGAGGAACTGGAAAACTGATGTTTCAGGTTAGGACCCTTCTTCAGAAGTGGGGGAGGGAGCTGTTTTGTTGGTACAGGCTTCATTTGAACCATGTAACAGTATCTTATTGAATCGTGTAACTAGGGTTGTACATAGGGGCAATGTTCAAATGAGGGGAATTCCTAAAAATCAAAAATGAAACAAGAGAGCAGAGGTGCTGGGTAGTGAAGATGCGAATAAAAAACAGGAAAGGCTAGAAAATATACATCGAAGAATGCAGCAGCAATTAGAACCAGATAAGTAATACTTTTAAAAAGTCAAAGCCGAAGGGCTCTTTATCTGAAAATATGCTGCTTTTGTGACAAATTAGATGAGTTGGCAGCAGAAAAAGAAATTAATGTGACTTTATAGCTATTATGGAGATGTGGTTGTCAGGTGACTAAGACTGGGAATTCGATACTCGAGTTTTCAATTTTCTGGGAGAACAGATAAAAATGAAAAGGTGCGGGGTAGCTTTGTTAATAAATGAAGCTTTCAGTGCTGTGGTGGGTAGTGATATAAGTGTATGGTATAGATCATTGTGTGGAATTAGTTTGGATAGAAGCAAGGAATAGCAGGGGAGTTATCAATAGACCACTGCAGAGTTGCCTCATTGTAATGAAAGGTATAAATTAGGAAATAATGAAGGAATGTAAGACAGATACTACAATTATCATCAGCATTTTGACTGGACAAATCAGATTGACAAGGGGAACATAAAAGATGAATTGTTGAGTGCATCAGTGATTGATTTTAAAGAGCAATACACTGCAGAACCTGCTCAGAAACAGGCCATTTTAGATCTGTTACCTCTCAAAGGGAGTAACAGACTGGAAGTGCCAGGGTTGTCCCAAAAAATAAAGATTTTAGAAACGTACGCTGAATTCATAGAATCCCTACACTACAGATGGAGGCCATTTAGGTCCATTGAGTGTGCACCACTTATCCGAAAAGCAACCCAAACCCCTCCCAGTCCATGTAACCCATCATGGGGTTTTATCCCATGGCTAAACCATCTAGCCTGCACATCCTACGTGGACACTACAGGGCAATTTATTAAGAGGAATCCACCTAACCTGCACATCTTTGGACTGTGGGAAGAGATCAGAGCACCTAGCAGAAACTCATGTAAACACAGGGAGAACGTACAGACTCCCCACAGACAATCACCCAAGGCTAGAGTTAAACCCAGGTCCCTGGCACTGAGGCAACAGCGCTAGTCACTGTGCCATCCACTTCCCCAATTTATTTGGCTTTCAGATTCACGTTGACAGAGATCTCACACCAGACTTCTGTACTTAACAAAAGTCACTATTTATTACAAATAATTAGACTATAGGTACAGTTCAACAATTATGAATCATCAGCATAACAACTGCACTAGTTAAAACTGTAGGCTCCTTATAACCCCTGTCCCCAGAATATGGACATACAGATATGAAAAAATACATGGGAGGGAAAACCAGAAAGCAGTTCAGTGGTCCCTGTTCACATGATCTGCTGAGGAGATTCTTGTGCTGATCAGAACGTTGCTTCTTGATCTTTCTTGTCTCAATACATTCACTTGTTTGCAGGATACACAGAGTGACTGGTTCACTCTTGCAAAGGCCTCTGACATATCACTGAAGAGTCACAGCTTACAGTAGTTGTTGAAGGAAATATAAACTGGTTTCCTTCAGGCTTAAAGTGGTTTTACCACAGAGACAGCCTCTAAATCTGTAGAAAGCTGATGGCTTCTCCCTACTAGTTTCACAGTCCCAAC